GAACTAGGCGAACTAACATCAACGAAGAGCTAGGAGCTAGGACACTAAAGTCACATCTCGCTAGTCTTCATTATTTTAAATAGTCATTTGGACTTAGTAAATTTATTGTGTTTTGTAATAATTAAATAAAAAGTATTCAAATTATAAAAAAAAGTCAAACTCTTGTTCATTTATTTCCAACACCATCAACCGAGCGTAGTCAGATTGTTACATTATAATATAAGTGTAAAAAAGCTCGCTAACTTAAATAACATTCAGTTGGTAGTCGATCATTACTGCCACTACGAATGTAGAGAAATTTTAACAGCTCGCGATAATAGTCACAGTCACAACAGAAAAAAGTTGTGAAGGTAAAATCCAAACAATCCCGTAAGACTCTAAAAAAGAGCATTCGGTGCTTAACAACATAGATAAATCAAAATACATATATCACAGTAATATCGAGTATCGAGCACCACCCTTAGAGAACACTAACTAGGTAATACACAGTACAAATACCACAGAGCAACAAACACTGCGAATAAAAGTGAATTTGATAAATATATATATATATTTATATATTTATATCATACCAACGAAATACAAGTAATAGAATAATCAGACTCCCGCACTAGAAAACTATTAAAATAATAAGTCACTTTTATTTTTCTGCAAGCGTGTTATCTAACGGTCCAGATGAAATAATTTATGCAATTAGAAGAAACCATATTAAAACCACTTTAGTTTAGTCTTGGTTCCACGAGAAACATTATTATAGTGGTTCGTTATGGAACAAGGTCTTAATTAACTATAGATAAAAAAATGATAGATTATGAAGAATTATGCCGTTATGGTGTTCATGCTCAAAAACTTTTGAAATTCTATAGTTTTTAACTTGGACAACAACAGTTTGAGTAAATAAAAAATCTACATTGATTAAATGATCAATATTTTTGATTTGAAATATATATATACGATAGGAATGCTATTAATGTAATAAGAGTATAAAATGATGTAGAAAGTTTTGAAAAAAAATACAGAATAAATAATAAAATTGAAATGCAAAAAAGAAAGAAACTAAAAACTAAATACGTATTTAATGAACAATAGGTTAATTTTTTTATCAATAAAATGATGAAGGAGATAATTATTTTAAATATATATAGCACTATCATATCAAAAATATTGTAATCATTTTTAGTTTTAAATTATTATAATAATTTTTATTATTGTATCACTAACATATTGTAATCACTTTATTTATATAATTATAAAACTAACAAAAAAAAAAAAATTTATATTCCAATAATTTTGGGTTATATTATAACCTCATTATTATTTTATTAACTGTGATATTAATTTTGTTAAGTATATATTGATTAAAATTGAAAAACAAGTTATTTTTAGCTTGCCCATGTATTAATATAAAATTAACTAAATTGTACAATATGTCGATTGATCTCTGCCTTTAAAAACATAAATCAATTTTTTAGTGGGGAGGTGCTATGGACTGGCGTCCCGCTTTCTTAGTACCTAATAATGTAATTTAAATTTCATTCACACTCGACTATTAATCTCGGTCCTCGGGGGTAGAGGCGGGATGTTAAGTAGAATATAAACACTTGTTGACCGTAGAAAGTACCCATTTGTTATATCGACACTCCACGTGTCAGGAGTAAATACCTCAGAAACTACAACAGCTGTATAAACATTAGGCATAATATAATGCATTAATGCAGGGGTCGGATACGACAGTGAGTGATTGGAACAAAATATACAAAATCGAATATTATAATTATACATATGGAAAATTAAGCAGCAGATGTCTGATAATACATACATATCGATATAATAACATGTTTCGACGGAAATGAACCTACACAGGAGTACAGGACGCACACTCGTGTCAAGGAGTGCGCCGTAACTCTTAAACATTTCCGATAAGATTACAGACGGAAGCGGAATCCGTGAGAACGATACTGGTTAGAGGGTATTAGGCCTATACACGAGAGCCCCGAACTGCCCATTTTTAGATGTGATTTGACCAGACGATCCAAAACGCCTTCACACCAGTGTGTTTCTTTACTTTATTATTTGGGTACGTCGTCACTAGGTATTAATAATTATAATTTAATAGAAGCTTAGATCAATTTAAATTCAATATTTATACTTTTAATCGACCGATTATTATTTATATTTTGATTTAAGTTTGATGAGTATTCGATAATTATTTTCGTTTTAATTATTAAAATTATTAAACTGGGGTGGATTATTATGACTCGTTCTCTGAAAATTATTATTATTATTAAATCACTGAAAACCATTATCGTTAAATACCTCTGTTTCCGTTCTTATTTTTATGTCTATTACCAGATGCTTGTCTGTTCAAATTAAATTCATTTTCGTAAACTTCAGCAATCCGTTTCACCTCCTCTAACGAACCCCACGAATTTCCCACCTTCCTTCTTATAGGCTCAATTAATCCGATAATAAAAAATGCTAATGTTTGCCCCATTAATACTAAGTTTATGATTTTTGCATCAGTCTCTGGTTTATCCATGTTCATGATGTTACATATTTTATAATGCATTTCTTCTACTCTACTGTGGTAACTGTTTACGCTTTCATCGTTACGCATTTTTATTGATCTTAACTCTCCCTGTAATATTAATTGTTGTAATTTTAATTCGTTAGTTAACTGTATTTTTATATCTTCCCACTTGGTAATGTCTTTATATTTTATCAATGCAAATAACTTAGGGCTTAATTTGCAGGTTATGCATTTAAGTAGTATTGGCACACATTTAGGTTCGATTATACTTAGTGATAATTCACACATATTAATAAATTGAAAAATGTCGGAGTCCCCCTTACACATAGGTATCATTCCAATAGCACAATCAAGGCTAATTGTAACTATTTCCTTACTCTCGATTTTAACAATATTCTCAATCTCTGCCATATTTTAGTTAGGTAGTGTTTTATTTAAAAAATTTAAATGGGCGTTTTTAAAATTAACAAAATGTGTTACAATATTTGGTCTTTAAGTGTATCAACTATATCAACTTCAATTATATTAACTTGGCACTTATATTATTCAATATTTCCTCAAATATACCACAACTTTAAAATAATCAATATACTCAATAATAACATAGATTAATAATTAACACGTAATGCCACGTTAATGCTTAACTCAACTTTTTTAAATTTGTTTTTTTTATCTACCTACTCTTTTCCATACAAAATATAATCTTCAATACATAAATTCACTTACAAAAAGTTGATTTTAGAAACGAAAATTAGTACAGCTGTTGATTGATCACTAGATTTTTTTCTTCTGCAATTTGACTTGACGCTGGTCCTCTCCTTTGATATTGTTGAGCTGAATGTAGTGTAGGTTATTCCGCTTCACTGTTCGCGAAGGTTGACTCCGTACAATTTGAATTCAAGTAATATTTTTTTTCAAAAATATTAAAAGTTCTTGATGTAAACAGGATATTCCCGACCGTTACAAAATTGTGAACAGTGAATATAGATCGTCCAACATACTAAAAAATAGTACAACGTTAACACTGTCAGAACACAAATATCTTTTTAATAGAGTACAAATATTTAATTAAGATGAAAACATTAGTTTGTTCCACAATTAATGTGTATTACAAACTACAAGTCATAAAGTACCCATGTATAATAATTTTAAATCACAACAAAATAACTAAAACTGTTCATCTTTGTTTAAATATCCAATTTCGTCCAAATTTAATACTTATTTAATAACTTAATATATTATCTATATTAAAAAAAAACTGCGTTTGCTTATTGTTTACATTTTTTTATTAAAGTATATGAACCACGTATGAAAACCTTTGCTTAAATTTTCTAATCCATAGCTATAAAAATTAAATATTTTATACATTTTTAACTACAAAATAATTGGTAAATGTTCGTGATTTTGATGACATTTTTTAAAATTTGAGTTTAAATGATTTTTTAAAAAGAACGTGCTTTTGTATCTTTAATATTTTTTAACTACTATTTTAACAACTTGTTTAAAATAATTATTGATTAAATTTTCAAATTCAATCTTTGATCATTCAAAAAATGTTTTATCATTATTTATCTAATATGTCTATAAATAGTTATTGACAAAACCGATTTAGTTTTTAATTTTTGTAACTATAGGTATAAAAAACTATTTTTGTAGATACTGTAATGGTCTAGCGACTACAGGTGTCGTTGAATAGAATAGGATGAGGTGTAAAGGCCCGGGGAAGGCTAGGCCAACAATAAAATAGTTGATATAGTAGTTCTGAGAATTGGACAAGGGAAATTACGTTGCGAAATACATATGAATATAAAAGACTAAATCATGATCGACATTAGAAACGATCGCACGAAATTAATTTAAACAATAATATAATAAATATTAAATATTAAATAGTGGAAAAACAGATATTATAATAACTACTTCAATCACAAAACGACTCGATATATCGCAATTCTAGCCACAAGAGCGTGAGACGATACCATTTCCTGGAACTTGTACGCACACGAGCCATAGTAAACGGAGTCAGCACTATCTTGTCTTATCTAGACTGATAGGCCGTATTCGGTTAGAAGCGTATTTCGTAAACAATGTTTTTTTAATATCATTGAATTCAAATTTACATATCAATTAAAGTGACTTTTCTAGACACCTTATGTACAGAAAAACGTTACCCACTTGCCTGTTTTTTTTCTTTGTAAACTACTGGTAAATCTCAATTTACAATTGAAATGTAGCAACTATATTAAATTACCAACCAGAAAATATATTGAAGTTAAGAAACGAAAATCTATTTCAACTATGTATCACGTATAGAGAAAAAAAATTATAAATGCTAAATAGTTGTAATTTATTGTATAATCATTACATTTATCGGTCCGCTTAGAATCTAAAAATGTACGCATCAAAGGTTTTAGGCACATGAAGGGCAGAAGTGCTAAGTGTTTTTAAGTAAGGTTCTTAAATTGAAATTGTTTTTTTTTAGAAGCAATTTTTAACTTAACGAGTTTATATTTTTTTCATGTTACGCAATTACTTATGAGTTATTAATTGTATTATCACGTTAAGTTTATTTTTCTTCCTTATAGAAAATAGACACTATAAATCGTACTTCATTGAAGTGTTCCTCTCTATTTTTGGATTCTAGACTTGTGATTAAATAACGTATATAAATAAAAATGTTTACAAGAACGAGAGAATAAGGTATATGTATATAATGTACCTATACTAATGCGGCTTTATAGTAATAATTGATAAGTTATAACTTATAACTCATACGTAATAAATTATATAGTTTTATAATGTTGTAACTGCAAATTCATAGAATACCGTATAAGCATATTAAATAAAATAAAGGTAATGGATTATCGATATTAAATAGAACAGAAGATCACCATTATCGAGAAAATTAAAAAATTAAACTAACTTTCCGAGTACTCCGCACACAGAGCCCCCTTTGCCGGTTATATTGAGAGAAAAAATTATCCCATACACATTTGTATTATACCTACTTATTTTTATTTTTATTTTTAATTATATTTTTCTAACAATAAAAAATTATATTATGATATTATTCCTAATTATTTTAAAAAAGGACCGGAATTTTAACTGGGTTACTTTTTTTCTTATTAACTTGTAATTTTCATATGTTAAAAAAAAGAATAGTGACTTAACTTAACTTGAATTTTTATATTTTAAGGAAATTGCAAACAGTCATATATTTCAACCAAAATGTTTCATATTATTTTGTCAACCATACCGATGTACCTAGTATTGCCACCCTAATCACTGTACATTTGAAAAGTGATTACATTTAGTACTGTGTTTTGTTATGACTGATCAAACCACTTTTAAACATTTTGTTCTTTACCCAAAATAATTTTTGTTTGAATATTTTAAATTTATACAAGCTTAAAAGTTGATTAAGTAAGTATTCTAAATTCAAATTAAATATCTTAAAATGTCTGTCTGCAATTCATTTAATTAAATTAGAGTTTAAAAAAATTAGTTAACCTCTTCATCATACTGATGTATTTATGTATAGCGCATCTTCACCTGTATTATTATCGAGATTACCTACTCTTATAATAACATAAAGCATCACAGGACGAATGTGGAATTCGTTTCTGTTTTTTATTATACAATTACCATTGTTATATTATGTGGTACCCATTAAGTCTACGTCGTCGTTGTTGCACTATGGAGCATCAAAGCACTTTTCGTTCTTTTTGTTCTTTGAGAGGATGCTACGCATCCGTAAGTTATCGCCGTCTTACAAACGTATGACACACCAAATTTTCATTTCCTAGTTTCAATTTTGTAACGTTAGCTTTGATATTATAGTATATATTTACTTATTATCAAACTTTTAGTTAAAAACAGTATCTGTGCTTAAGCGTCAGTGATTTTTTCGATTTTTTAATTTTCGTACAAAATATGAGTATGTGAACAAATAAAATATATTCATATCTCTAACCTTGAAAATTCAAATATCGAATAAATCATTGACGCTTAAGCACAACTCATTTTCTTACTGATGTTTGATAATAAGTCAATTTACACTAATATACAAACTAAATACACTAAGTTGAAACTAGTAAACGAAAATGTTCTATATCGAACGTTTGAAAGGTGAAGACAACAAATGCATTTGTAACATTACATTAATTATTATGGTTATTATGTTTAATTTGAAGGTTGCCAATACAAAATAAAAAAATATTAATTCACTAAAACTTAATCCAAATTTGAATAACTGTATTTTATATATATTTTATAAAAATGTATAGCTTATTTATTGCTGATAATTCTGTATTAATATTCGGAGGTATACATATAGAATATTCGATAGAGCTCTCAATTATGTATATATCTGTATATATAAAGGAAAGTGTACTTTACTAATAATCAACACAGAGCCGAACCTATTTGAGTTATCGAATTGATATTTCGAGGATCTTAAGTTAAGTCTGAATAAATTAGATCTGAACTTAAGTCATCCTCGGGCCTCCATGCCATACAAGATGTGTATAGGTATACAATTTGCAGGTTTATTTTAATTATTAACTAATTTTCCTCTCAACTTTCTTGACTTGGTATTTTTTTTAATTGTTTGGTTGCCATTGGTTAATCGGACGGATCAGGTTTAAGAATGCATCAAATCGAATTATAGTATATTGCCTAACAAAGTGGCTGTTGACTGTGTTACACTTGTAACCGCTCATCGATATGTACACAATCAAAATAATTAATACAGTTAAAATTAAACATATTATTCATACAGAACACTATATTATACCCGAACTTAGCCGGGTTCGCAATAAACCACAGGTAGATAGTCTACCTGTTAATATACTACTTACATTATCACAAGCGAGTCTCAAATAGAGTTGGCATTTTGTAAAGGGCAACAAAGTGCAAGGGATCAGCTAGAAAAGATATAATAATGATAATATAGATCTTTGTTTCGACACGATACTACGACAATTAATTTGTCTACTGACAATCGAACGTAGAAACGGCTGAAACCGCTTTATTTATGACGTAGGAATACTTGCCGAAATTATAAACTACAAACTAATATAATATTTGTATTGAGTTAAGAGTTGTACGGGAAACACCGATTAGCTCAATTATACAAATTGCGTTATCGAAAAATAATACTTTTCTTATCGATGTGCGATAAACTTGTTAAACTATACAAATTATAATTATAACTATAGATTCATTTTTTAATAACAATATGTGTATAGAATTATTAGAATCATTTGTAAACATCATTATTATTATTTTTTTGTTTTTAAAAGATTTTTCAAAATTAGACCTCTAAGGGGGTAAGAGGGTTTGTTTTTATATAACTATGTAATACACGGGCAACGCCGTGACAGGACAGCTAGTATATAATGTATAGTATATATATATGTATTAAACACCTTTTTTATTTGTATTAAATAATTAAAATATAAAAATGTTTAATGCGAATTCGCTTATGCACATTTGGCTTACTTTTAGTGTAAATATTAATTACATTGTTAGTGCTCAAACATCCTAACACTATTAATTATAGTATTTAGGGTAATAGTTACCATAAAATTATTTTGATTTTAACATCACGACACAACTTTCATTGTTTAACCACAAATTTTTTTAAAGGAAAACATAATATATTTAGTTAAGAACAAAACAGTTCTAACTAAGTAAAAAAAATATGTACTTACAATATCAACGGCCACACATTCACACGGCAATCGTAAACAAAAAGCGAGTATGTAGTTCGCAGTCGAAAAACAGTTCAAGTCCAATAGTAATTTAAAGTGTTTATTTAATTGATTGAAATTATTATATTATGTACTAAAAATATACAATTCAACTCAATTGATATTTTCTAGACAGATAATATTTGACTCGTTATTTTTATAAGTTCAAAAATATGATTTTATACAACATTTTCTAAGTCGAAAATAATCATTAAATTAAAACTCCGACCGACTTGAAGGTTTTCACGCCAGCTCTGGTATTACATGTCTGAATACACATTACACACCGTTCTCGAGCTACACATGATGCGTCCTATTCCCCCACTCTTCTGTAAAAATGCCTAATGTGTACAATCGACGCCAGCCGTCGTCTCCTCGCGGTACTCGCCGTGCGAGCCGATAGCCACATTCCAACAATTCGGTGGCGGGCGGTGATAGTTCGTCCCACTCCAAATTCCTAAGAATATTTGGTTCCCAATCGGTTTAAATCACAATAGCATTATTTCCAGCTGCCTCGTATGGTTACAGAAAGTACTACTGAGCAGCCGCTATCGCCTACATGAAATGCATTTTACAATATGCGAAAATACAATAGACATCATATGTACGCTGTTGCCATTCGGTTCGGTCTAAATGATTTTAAGAGGCGAGGTGTACCAACTACGGTGGTCTAAACCGGCTCTCTGATGTATAGTTATACTGTGCTGGAAGTACCAATGCCACCCCCTCAATCGTAAACTGATATATATTATTATATTCCTTTCTTTTTTTCGTGCTGGAATGAGTGTGTCTACGGGTACGTCGAAGTACCTGTACATTATATTGTATAGAATATCAGAACATAGCCTATGCACTTGTGAATCGCTCACACATAATAATATCAGAATAACGTCACTATAATAATATGATATAATAATCGACCATAAACCTCGGCAGGAAAGATAGTTATAATAGAAATTTTATTAATTTATTACGATACAGCCGAAAGCCGAAACACACAATAAGTTGTCAAATTAGCATAGTGCATAGTCAACCTTGGATAGACCGTTTATAAATCTACCTATTTCGGATATCTGAGGACCCAGTAAACAAGTTAAGAGTGTAAGATGCGATGACCATACAAGTCAGAAAGGAAAAAACACTGACATAACGGCACACAAAAGAGTATAAGTGATCGGCGAGTATGACACAAATTGTCAGCCATAGTAAAATGTATTAATATTTATGAAAACTGCTTAACGATAAACGACGATTACACCAATGGGCATTATAATCATAGACCCTTATACTTATCATGCCAGACCAGCGGGTTTGGGTGGTACATTGACTGTGAATTTCGTAAAACGTACGTTCAGGTATTATCGTAATAAGTCAATATAACGAAAACGTTGAAATCAAAAATCTACAAGTTACAATTAATTATACTTCACGCAAGTTCATTCATGATTCGTATAATTCGTTAGAAACTTATAAGAAATATTCATGAATTATGATATTATACTATGGTGGTTACGTATTCAGGCTGTTTTTGTTTTTAACTATATGCAAGAAAATCAGTGTGGTCTAGGCACATGCACGAAAATAGCTACCACCATGCTCCGTCTCAGTGTATAATATGAGGTCTATGATTAGAATAATATATCACTATTATTGATGATTTGGAAAATCTAATGCGGCGGGTGACTTCAGCTGTTGGCGTGGTGACGTCGCCACTCGCTCATGCGCGGGAAGCGCGCATTGCTATACACGCGCTGAACATGTAATGTGCAATTAACTCTTGAGGTAATTTTTTTTAAATTGTTTGTTGTGGACTGTTGTCTACACCAGTGGTTCCCAAACTTTTACGACCACAGCACCCTTAAACAATTGTTTGTGTTTCGCGGAACCCTAATGTCTAATCCAACTCAACTACAATTTTTCTAAATAAAAAAATGAAAATCAATTCTCTAAACTCTCAAGTCTAAATAATATTTTAATGATACTTTTAATGACTTTTCATTATTAAACTTAGTTAAAAAAAATTTTCAATCAAAAATATTTTAAATAACAAACATAATTAATAAACATAATTTTCTCAATAATCTCATACATCTGCCGGAACACTTGACATAGTCCCACGGAACCCTAAGGTTCCGTGGAACACACTTTGGGAAACGCTGGTCTACACTCAGCTACGTACGCGCTCGGAGTGTAAGCACCGGCCGATGTTGCTAGCTCCCGGATGGGTGACCACTCGCGATTTTTATCAACATATCAATGCCACATATACAAAAATATAAAAACAAGGATGTTGCCCCCTTATTAAAAAAATTTTAAAAAAAATGTTTTCTTAAAAAAATCTAAATATTTTGTTTTAGACAATGTCATGTTTATTTCTTTTGAAATACCATACTTTCAATTCCCCTACATATTGCTTACACAAAATAATATCGCTGTTTTACATTTATCAGCAGCGACGACTCACATATTTATGATATACGGTGGATTCCGCTTAATGTGGCCACCGGTCAATATGGGCATCTGCTTATTGTGGGCAAACATGTCTGGTCCCAATACAAATGTATACTAACTATGTTAAATAAAACCGTGTAATATAGACACTCTATTAGGTTTATGTGGGCAGTTTTATTTTATCATAGCGTTAGAATATACACATATGTATTTAAAAAGGACTAGTTTAATCGGGTTTCGTCGTATCTATGAGATTTTTTTTCACCCTCGGCAACTAGGCCATTGGGTAAGAAACATTTTTTTTTTTTTACAAATAAGTGTAACATAATAATATAAAAAATTATTATTAAAGTTTCAATTTTAAAGTTGTGTTGTTCAGAAGGTTAAATGAGTTTGTTCAATCCTGTCACCTGGAGGAACACGAATATGTTAGGTGATGGCAGGGCTGGTCCAAGTATATCATATAAGTCACTGGATAAATGTTGCGTTACTTGCATCAAGGTTTTCAAAAAATTCGGTGAGGATGTGTTTTATTGTGAGTTCGACCCCGCACGCCATACGTGAGGGGGGCTCACTCGGGACATTTGATAACCATGAGTTATTCTGGTATGACCTATTCTTAGTCTGTTGGTGATGAATATCTATGAGATTGTGTTTATCGAAAGTATACCTTCTACATTCAAAGATTAATTTTATTTAGTATATTATATGTATTTAGTTTTATTTGTATACCTATTAATTATTTAAAAAATTTCAACCGCTTAATGTGGGCAAACAGGGCTGGTCCCAACGTGCCCACATTAAGCGGAATCCACTATAATTGTTAAAAAAAAAACTACACATTACTTTATCGATAACTCAGCTTCACTGGATACACGAGGGAACTACCACCGTGCCACGTATATGAGTATACAAACGCCCATGATTATAATAATTTATCACTATTAGGTATTATGATATTATTATACTACAATATATCATGGTTTCATGCCGTGAATTTTAATAATATAATGTAGAATGCATTAACGTACGAATAGTAGTTGACCTTTACTAATGTTTAAACTATTGTCGAGTGCCACAAACACATCGTTCTTATCATGTAAACAATAAAAACATAATTGCAAGATTATCAGCCAGGTACACGTTTTAGAAATCGTAGAAACAAGTTGTCATTTTAAAATTGGAAACAAAAACCAACAACAACTCTACACCTGCAAACGCGTAAGCCGTTGCATCAAAGAAGGTATCACTTATACAAGATCCCAATCAGATATACCTAAGATAGTTTTGAAGATAAAACTTAAACTCTACAATTTTCTAAAAACATAAACATATCTCGTGATCTGAATATTCTGATACTTAGGAATATTTTATAGTTATAATATCAACATTCAACACGTTACATTTTTGAAGTATCTAGATAAAACAATTAACTAACTATCCTATTTACACAATTTATTACAACTCCCGTCATATCTCATTAACGATACCTTTACATGACAGATCGCTAAAACATATAAAGCAATCAAAATATTCTAAATACCTATTGCTATGCATTGGCTTCCCTCTTTTTATCATAATACTATAATAGTATAATCTACTATCCACATTAAATTTCTATACAACCCCTTTAACTAGAAGTGTAGACTATTATTAAAATAAGTACTCAAGGGAAACAGGTTTAAGTACTAATAGATAGGGTAATAATAGTACAGAACATACGGGACATTTATTACTTTCTACTTAGATTACTTTCGGTCAGTGAATTATTGAGACTTGGCAAATATTCGAGTCAAACCGATATTTTCTGAACACTTAGAATGATTCTCTGCGACAAATAATCTATTAATCTGATACAGAATAACAGTTTGTCAGTTTAAATTCCATGTGTTAAATTAAATATTACTATAAATTATACCACAAATCATCAGTTTACGAGTTCATATATGAAATATCCCTCGTCCTACTCTTCTAAACGACACTTATAGTCGTCAGATCACTACAAAATTATAACAAACCATTATTGCGTTTATTATACAAAATAAAATACAGAATATAATATTTAATAACGTAGTTATAATGATACTTTATGAAACAAAGCATTAGATTATCGAAAATACTACCACATCAAACGTATACTCATATCGAGACGCAGGTGGTAAGCATTTCTGAAACAATTACAGATGGCATCTGTAAGAACGATACTCGTCGTATCGATAAGACTGGTAGAAGTAGAGGGTAGGCCTACACAGAAGAGCCCCGAAATAAAGATAATAATACTATATTTTTATAAAACTATGTGACCAATAAATTATACGAATAATTGTGATTATTGAATACCACTTTATGTTAACCACTGCTTAACAGCGATATATTTTTCATATTATGTATGATGCTATATAATGTTTATGTATATACTGTATATGTTTTACGATCAACTTTTTATTTTAATTTCCACTAACTACAACTTATGAGAAACTGGGTATTACATTATAAAGTTTTTTGATCGAGCAAAAAATGTTGTATTGACAATTATGACTAAAAAAAAATCATAAAACTCAAATATTTCTTATGTCTATAAATACTTCAACATGATGAAAAATTTTTTGAAAAAAAACACCTACGCCGTTGAAAAATCTGCAGCGATCTTACTTACAGATGCTGATGTGAAATGTAGATTGATCAGCAGCCTAATCCAGACGTGTCTTAACAGAGCTAGCCAAAGTACTTTCACGACAGTCAGTTTTTTGATTTGTTATTTTGTATTTAGAATCATTTTAACAGTAATATGTTTTGTGTTAGAAAATAAACATGTCAAATTTATTTATTTC